CAGGCATATATATATATAAAAAAATTTTTTTTTTACCATTAAAGGCTATTACAAGATATCAAACATCGTTCCCTCTGCTATACAAAAGAAACTTTTAAAAAATATATTCTTTCATACTTGTATGTGCACATTCTCAGTTAAGAACAAAATTTGAGAAACCACGTAACTTTCAGTTTGAAAAAAAATCAGTTGTTGGAGTGTGAGTGACATTAGAGACTGTCCTAAACAGGTCACATCTACAGAGTTGTGGAGTTTTGTCCTGAACACCCAATACATAATACGTTCTGAGAAAGGCGACTCTGGTGGTTAGGAACCAAAAAAATAAATGAATGGATGGGTGGAGGGAAATGGAAAGAGGGTCAGTCGTGAGGAACTGGTGGAGACAGGGAGGGGAGTGAAGATGAAACACAGGACAGGCTGGAGGGATACACCTGTACCTGAACCTTTCCTGATGAGTCATATTCCTGGGTGACTTCTCTGTGTTTCTGTGTCCACACTTCTGAGACCAGCTAGTGATGGCTCACATGCTGTAGCCATGGTACCTGATCTCAGAACCTTCATCCTCGCACCCTGGACCTTCCCTTTCTGACAGTTAACACAACGGTAACTAGGTAACTGTGTGAGCACTTCTCTCTTTCCCCTTCTAGACCCTAAGTCAATTCCGTGGGGACAAGCCCTGTGTTAGTCCCTTTCACTCTGTACTCTTAATGTCTAGCATTCAGCCATCGTAATCATATACTGAGCCCTCTATCAACATACTTGGATGCATTTTTGAACATTGCTCAGCAACTCAGTAACTTCACTAAGTAGTGGACTTTTCAAAAAGAGAAAGTATAATGAAAAGGAATAACGCATTTCGTGTTAGCATATGGACGTTGCAGGCTGCAGAGAAGAAATACTTCTCTCAATAAAATATGGATAATTAGGAAAGTCGAGCACTTACTTCATAAAGTGGACCATGGACAAATCTCATCAGGCTGGTAGCATATAAGTCACATTCTCTCCTTGTAAGGTAGTAAGTTAGAAATCAAGACCAAAGAGGTAACTAAAAATAGACTTAGCCTATGACCGAGCAGTCCCACTCCTGGGCATATATCCACAAGGAACCCTACTTCAGAAAGACAACTGCACCACAGTGTTCATAGCAGGACTATTTACAGTAGCCAAGACATGGAAGCAGCCTAAATGTCCATCAGCAGATGACTGGATAAAGAAGTGGTATATTTATACAATGGAATACTATTCAGCCATAAAAACCGACAACATAATGCCATTTGCAGCAACATGGCTGTTAC